TCCGGTGACGCCGCCCTCGTGCGCATGGTGCCGCAGAAGCCCATGTGCGTGGAGGTGTTCAACGACTACGCGCCCCTCGGCCGCTTTGCCGTGCGTGACATGCGCCAGACGGTCGCCGTCGGCATCATCAAGGCGGTCACGAAGAAGGAGGGCGGCGCCGGCAAGGTGACCAAGGCCGCCGTCAAGGCCTCCAAGAAGTAAGATGGGGGCAACGGCTGTGCGCAGACTTTGTTTTATAACTTTATAACTCTTATTTATATAAATCATTTTGCCACGCTGTGCGGTTAACATTTCCTGCTGCTTCGGCTTGGTTTGGTTTGTTTCGGCCTTTCTCTCTCTGTCCCTGCCTCTCGCTTTTTGTGGTTATTCCTTTCTTTGAGCGCTGGGCGTATACGCTTTCTTAATCTTTTTTTTCGTTCTTTTTTTTAATTGTGTGTTTTGCGTAGCGCAGTGCCGCACACCGCTTATACTGCTTGTGTGTGCCCGAAGACGTTTGCGCGTTGTGTACGGCAGCTGCGGACGATGGAGCGGAGTGGCGAGATGTCTTTGGAGGAGCGGCGACGCAGGCAGCGCCGACGCCGCCTCGCCGCGAAGCCGCCGGAGACGCGGCGTCGTCGTCTGCAGTACTCTCGGCGGCATAACGAAAAGGACGGGCGACTGCTCTACTGTGACTACTGTGACCTCTTTGTGAGCAGCGGGCAGCGGCCGTGGCTGCAGCACCTGGGCGGCGTGCGGCACATGGAGGCGATGGAGTCGTACTACGCGACGGTGGAGGCCCGCGATCCTGCGTGGGTGAACGCTCTCCGCGAGGATGTGGCGCGGGCCCACGTGGAGGAGCATGTGCGGCAGCACCACCTCTTGGCGGGGAAGGGGGCATCGGTGCCGATGCCCGCCATGACGCTTGGCTACGTGGGCCACCAGGGCATTGTTGTGGGGGGAACGCAACTGTCCAGCGCGACGCACGTCAGCGTGGGCAAGAGCAACAGCAACCATCGCGGCGGCAGCAGTGCGCAACGCGGGTCCCCATCGGTGCGTGTGGGTGGACTTCTTGTTGCGGCCGCCACACCCCCTGTGGTGAGGGTAGATGGCAAGGCCTTGCCGCTGCCGCAGGGCAAGCAGACGATGCACCGCCCCTGATGCCTTTCTTTTTTTTTTTGTCCATTGCCTGCGACTGAACTGCCTTCTTGAGGTTGTGGCTCTCGGTGCCCCACGCTGTATGGGTGGAGGTTCATGTGCCTTTTGCAATAGCCGTGTCTTTGAGGCTGCTGCTGCTGCCGCTGCCGCTGCTGTCACCCGCCCCTCACTTTCTCGCTCTTGCCTAAGGGAGGAACTGTCCGTAGCACTGAGTGTTGTTGTAATTTGCCTGCATCACACGTGTTTAAACACACACATATATATATTTGTTGCTGGGGGCGGTAAAAAGAGGCGCAGCGAGGGAGGTGTCCGTGCAGGCCATGAGCGCGGGCAGCACAGAGCGCAGGCGGCGCATCCGCGAGCAGCTGCGTGAATTCTACGGCGACCCCACGGCAAGCCGGGAGCGGCATCCTGTGGAGGGCGGCAAGGCGGGGACGTCGCCGGAGATGGACGTTGACTCGGAGTTCTTCAACGTCGGCAGGTACGTCACAGATCTCCTGCGCCGGGAAAGTCTCAAGGAGCTCGTCGAGGCGGACACGCAGCTGCTCCGCAGCGTCCGCCACCTCGACGGGGAGCTGCAGGAGCTGGTGTACCAGAACTACGCCAAGTTTATCTCCGCCACCGACACCATTCGGGAGATGCGCGACAACATCACGGAGATGGACGCCAAGCTGCAGGCCCTCTCCAGCAACGTGGAGAACATTGACGAGGTGTCGAAGAGCATCACGGACAAGCTGCAGTCGCACCGGAGCCGGATTGAGGAGATGATTTTAACCAACCGCATGCTGCGGAAGGTGCAGTTCCTTGTGGAGCTTGCCGACACGATGCGGCGACTCATTGAGCGGCAGGAGTACACGGCGTGCGTGAAGTACTGGGTCGTTGGCGACAGCTTCTTCGCTAAGCACACGAATTTATCGAGCATCACGAAGATTCATGACGAGTGCAGGGCGTTGGCGGGGCAGCTGTACGCGAAGCTGCAGGAGACCGTCGTCACCACCTCCCTGGAAGACCCGGAGGCGATGGATGTCATCCGCTGCGTCGTGGAGGACATGCGTCTTTTGCGGGCCACCTCCCTCTTCGCTGCCGCTGCGGCGGCGACGGCGGAGGAAACGGCGACGGCGACGACGCCTGCCGCAGACGCCCCCGCCTCATTTGAGACGGAGATTCTGGAGACGTTAATGAAGAACGTCAGTGGGGGCTTTGCGGCGGGGGTTCAGGGTGTCAACAGCGCCATCCGGGCAGCCCTCGCCGTTCCCAACTTTGCCGCAATGGATCGCGCGCGTTGGGCAGACGTCTTGGAGCACGTCCAGCTGCAGGAGGCGCTGGCGCAGCTGAAGAGCCTCTGCGCGCTTTTCCACTCCAACAGTGAGCGGGTGTACAGTTTGTTTAACCGCGAGGGCGACCCCACCGTCGCGTTGCGGATTGTCGAGGAGGTGCAGCCGGTCCTCATCGACATCATGGCGCCCATTACCGCGTACATCGGCGAGCTGTTCATCGCCATGGTGGAGGCCTTCTGCTCGGACGCCGCGGGGGCCTTGGCGGCGCCGGCCACGGTTGGCAGTGGGCTCAGTGCCATCTTCACCACCCTGGCAACGCGCCTCAAGTACTACTCGGGTACGCTGAAAACGCTGGGGGTCAACTACCTCGACAACGCACACAGCCAGCAGAGTCGACAGTACGCGGCGCTCGTGGATCAGTCCGTGCTGGACATTTTTCAACGCCTCTTGGCGGCGTTGCAGGCGAAACTCACTGAGGGAGCCAGCGTTCCCGACAGCATCGCGTCGAGCGCCACGGCGAAGGACCCGGCATACCAGCAACTGCTACAGTTTTGTGTTTCACGCTTTCTGTTGGCCCGCGTCGCCAGCGCCGCCGACGTGGTTGGTCTCGCATCCCTCGTTGGCACCGACACTCTCCAGCAGGGCGACGTGGCGGGGGTGCAGCGGCGTTGCACGTACGTCGCGCGGGCCTTCACGCACCGCGGCATCGTACTCCTTGGACAGCTGCACCTCAGCTGGGTTGCCGCGGCGTCGTGCCCGGTGGATGCGGTGGACCCCACCTCCACCGTCGCGCTTAACTTCGGTATTGCCCACTGCCTGTGTGAGTTTGTGCGGCAGCTGGGCACCATCTACGCCCTCTTGCGGGACGGCGTTCTCGCGTGCGAGGCGGTGCGGGAGCGAGGCAGCGTCGGCAGCGCGATGGGCGCTGGCAGCTCGAGGCTGTACACGAGTGCAGGCAGTGGCCGCAGCAGCGGCAAGGCCGCCTCGCGAAGGCTGGTGGTGGCGTTCGCGCGGGAAACGGACAATGCCCTGCAAAGCACCGTGGACCGCATCTTTTCGAAGCAGTCGCAGAGCAACGCGGAGCTGCGGACGCTTCCACGCGAAATTCGGCCTGCCTCGGTGGTAGCCGCAGTAACTATCTACGTTCTCAAGGGCCTGATTGAGCACGTGCGGACGCAATCCTTCACACGTAACGGCTTTCAATGTGTTCAGCTCAGCTGCACCTTTCTCCTGCACGCGCTTACGCCTCCGGCGCCGCTCGCCTCGTCTGTTGCCTCCGCTGCTGGCAGTGACACGCCACTGTTGTCCCCATTGGGGGAGTGGCTGGGCAACTGCAGGGATGACGAAATGCTAAAGCTGGTGCCGCAGCTTCTTAACGAGTGCTGCACCTCCGCGTACGAGCGTTGTCGAGAAAAGGCCCCGTTGACGTCGGTGGTGGTGGAGAAACTCGCGAGCTCCGCCCTGGAGAGCATGCAGGGGGCGTCCCCGCTTTCCTGATTGAGCCGTGCGCTGGCCTCCACGTTGCCGTCTTCCTCTTTCGCGTGGGGGAGGGGGGGAGGGGGGCTTTGGCTTGCGCTGCTGCGCTGCGCTTCCGCCGTCTCTGTCCACGCCGCCCTTCGCGTAGCGGATGCCGCAACGCACTTCTCTCCTTTTTTTTTATTGTTTTGTTTTCGTCCATCGCGCGTGCGGCGGCGTCCCACCACCACCACCACCACCACCACTATACATACACACACACGGCTTGTAGAGACGCCCACTTGGAGAAACGCGGCGCGAGTAACCGTGCGGGGGCGAAGGAAAAAGAGAAAGAAAAAAAGGTGGGGAGGGGATTGCGTAGGGAAGTTTGCTGGCAGGATGCTTCGTCGCACACGGCATCGTGCGATCTCGCAGTACAACTTTGGTCAGCCGTCGCTGACGAAGGCCTTCGGCCCCGTGCCGCGCGAGGGCCAGGCGGCGAAGGCGGGGAAAGTAATGTCGACAAAACTCCCGAACGGGGTGCGCGTCGTGTCGCACGACCTGGACGGCGCCCACTGCGTCGTCGGGGTCTACGTGGACGCGGGGCCAAAGTACGACCCGCTCGGCTGCCCCGGCCTGAGCCACGTGATGCGGTACGCCATCCAGACGTCCAACATGGATAGCTCGCTGTTTCAGGTGGACCGCGCGATGCGCGCCGCGGGGGCCGCCTACGGCCATGGCGAGATCTGCAAGCGGTACGTGCACTGGAAGAGCGAGGGGCGGCGTGACATGTGGGAGCGCCCCTTTGCGATGCTCGCCACCGGGGTGGTCGCCCCGCGCTTCCACGAGAGCGACGTGGAGCGGTTCCGCGACACCATGGACAACCAGCGCGAGGAGCTGCGATGGCAGCACCCGCGCGAGTACTGCGTGGACGCCCTCGAGACGGTGGCATTCTTCAAGGAGCCACTCGGCGCCCCTCGCATGGTGCCACCGGAGGCAAACGACCGCTGCAACCAGAAGGCGCTAGTGGAGCACTGGGCGAAGCACTTCCACCCCGGCAACGTCACTCTGGCGGCCGTCAACGTCCCGCACGACGCACTGCTGGCGGCTTACGCCTCACTGCCGTATCCGCACTCTGCGGAGGCCCCGCATCACGCGAAGTCGCGTCAGCCAACCTTCTCGCACGCGAGCGAGTCCACGCAGTTCTACCCTGGCCGTCAGCATGTGGTGTACGAGGACCGCGCCAAGGCGATGGGCACGGTGCCCGACATGAACCAGGAGGTCATCGCCGCCCTGGCGGTCCCAACCTTCGGCCGCGATGAGGAGGTAAAGAAGTACGCCACGGCGCTCGTGGCGCGCGAGGTGTACCAGGCCGCCATTGACCGGGCCTTGCCGGCCGCCCTCGCCACGTCGCAGGGTGTGCAGTCGTTCTACCGTCCGTATTCCTCCGCGGGCCTCCTCGGCGTCACGCTCCGTGGTGCCCCGCAGGAGGTCAAAAACCTACTAGACGCCGCAAGGGGATGCTTCCCAGCGAAGGTGACGGAAGACGAGGCTGCCGCAGGACGCGTTCGTGCCACGATGGCCTTTACGCGGAATCACCTAGAGATGGTGCGAGACTACTGCGACTTTATTGCGACCTCCAGCTCCACTCCGCAGCAGATGATGGAGGCCATCGGAGCAGTTTCGGCAGGAGACGTGGATGCGGCTTTGGGTGCCGCAGCCGCCGTGGCGCCGGCCGTCTTCGCCACTGGCTCAACCTTCACCTTTCCGAAGGTGCCGAGCCTCAGGAAGGACAAGTAGCAGCCGTCCTCTGCTTGCACGTCACTTCAGTGAATAAGCGGCAGCGGACGATGCTGTTGTTCCTTGCGTGGGGCGTGATTGGGCTTTGGGCAGGGCGTGTGTGTGGGGTGTTAGGAAGGGGGAAGGCTGGGGAAGTAGTAGGCACGGTGTGGATAGTGGAATACTCGCGGTATAGTTCACCGTTGGCTGCGGGTTTCTTCTCTTTTTAGGTGCGGCGGGCGCAGGCGAGAGAGAGGCACGCGTTGAACAGAGCAGACGGATGCATGCATGCATCCGTCCAT